AGTGTTAATTGAATCACTTAATTTTAATATTAAGTGTTAAGTGACTAAATGATTTTTAGAAAACTTAATTTTAAAATTAACTGTTAAATGGATGTGAGTGCGACCTGACAAAGTACACCTATACGCGCCCCACACCTACACCCATATATGGTTTGTCTAGTGATATCGAAGTTTTCAATGATGATTTATTCGATTTCTTTTTTCAACACGGTGCATTTTAGTGTGCTTTTCTTGTTGCTTCTACAAAAATGGCCCAAATGTACATAAATGATGATGGTTCTTTTGAATTAATAATACTAATAGTTACAAAGATGTGTTTATTATAAGAACATGAAAAAAAGTTAGTAAGTGATAATGAAAAACAAATAAAATTCAGTATTGTTTATTGCATAATAATACTTCAGTATGAACTTATCGAGAGCTCTCAGGAGATTCAATCCGACCTGTAGATTCGATCGAAAACGATCGGATCCGCCTCGGATTTCATCGGAATCCGACATCTTTCATAAAAAACCGATCGGATCCGACAAGGTTTTTGTCGGATTCCCATCAGCCGGATTTCATCGGAATTCGACGGAACACGATGAAATTCGGGCCGGATCAGGTCGGATTTTGTCACGTTTCGTCGAATTCCGATGAAATCTGGACCGGAATCCGGTTGATGGATATCCGACAAATATAGGACCGGATCCGACCGAAATTATTCCGAACTGGCGAGATCCGACTGGGGTCGTTTGACCTGGGAGTTTCACAGTATTATTTTATCTGAAATACGAATATTTCATTGAGAAATTCCATGAGACAATGGGAAATAATACCTTTTTGCAAATAATTTAATATTTTCTATAGTTTCAAGTTGTTATTGATAAACAAGATTATAGATAAGAAGCCGATAATATAAGAACTTCAACTGGAATTTCAATGAAGTGGATTACAGTTTAACAATTCATGAACCAATATCATATTCATTAAAATACTCTCATCTGAATCTAACTCAATTCTTATGTGATATCTTGTAGTTTGTTTTTCTTTTGAAAAAAAATTCTTCCTCTATCTTATTCAACAACTTGTTATGGAACATTTTTCATCATCGGAATACAGATGCTTTAGATACGTAAAATATGGAAGGTTTTCATTTTGAAATATGATTACAGGGTGTGGGTGCGGGTGTGTGTGGGTTTTTGTGTAGAGAAGATCCACATCCACACTCATACCCGCACCCACAGCCACAGCCACAGCCACAACCACAGCCACATCCACATCCACACCCGCCACGCTCACATCCACACTCTTTGACAATCATTTTGAACCTCTATTGGATTTTGACGAAACCTTGAAAAACGTTTCGATTTCGCTGCAAAAAAGGTTCCGTACAGTACCCTTTTTTTCAGAGTGCAGACATCCATTCAGTAATATCTACATATAAGATCAAGCGATCTCCCTTATTGACACGCGTACCCACATCAAAAACGAAACACACAAATGTAAATCTTCATCCATTTTCAAGGTACTCTCATGTCCAGACTCATGCTCACATCCACACCCACCATTTTCTTTCTCATGGACACGATGTTGACACAAATCCGCACAAACTCACACTATTCCTCACATCCGCACTCACACTAAAGATCAAGGTTTTTCTGGTTAATGAGATGTGTATCGAAATCTCATATACGTCATTGATGTTGTAGATGATAAAGTTCCTAACTGTATGGTATCAGGTCTAAAATTCACCCATGGCAGACTAGAAATATTGTCCATATGCCATCCATTAATTTTTTCTGAGAGACTCGCCCATGTATTTTCATCTTTAGTATGAATAACAAACATTCCTTTATCTGGATAATATGTCGTACTTGGGTGCCAGTTATTGATATTACCCTCAGTAAAATGATGGTTGTTAAAACCGAGAGGTGCTGGTATACAATATAAATACTGTGAAAACCTCCTCCCATAAGGTAGTCGGTACTTCACAGATAGAATTTGTTCTATGAAACAGGTCAATGTATGACCAGTACCACACTCATTGTTATAGTTAGGTTCTCTAACTAAGTATACTATAAGGCTTGGAAACATGGATCCATTGTCCTGCCAATCCCAATTAGCCAACAGACTTTGCCTTTGCCAAAACTGGAGAAAACGGCCTACGCGTGGGACGTCTCTCAAGCGCAAAAAAAATACACCGTTATTGATTGGTTGATTATGATCAGTCATGATTATATCTGGTAGCGAAGTAGGAATAAATGAGTCAAGAGGTACTGTCCCGTTCATGATGCACGTATCCCAATCCATCCAGAAAAGATAGTCGAACGTATCAGTATGCGAATACTTTCTGTAATAATTTATGAGAACTTCAATTTTACGGTAATGAACAATACGTGACTTAGGTTGAATGAAGTTTAATTCGAAAGTGTAATTGAAACGTTTGCTGTATGCTGTACGAATAGCTGCAAAACGACTGAAACTGCGCCCAATAGTTTTATCAGTTGACATAGACAAAATTAAGAATCGAAGTGGCTTGTAAACTCGCCTTGAGTTTTCAGAGTTCATCATCTGTCGCTCAGGCAAATGCAGTTTCGAACATGGTTGAAACACACGTTGTTCATTATGTTGCAACATGTCGACAAAAGTCCACACTTCATTGGATGAATTAGGGAGGAAATTTTGCAGCCTATAGGAGGCGTTTGGGTATTCTTTAAGCCACCAATTATCATGCGGATGGCTTATGTTTGAAAACAGTCGTTCATGAACAGATAGTAAATACCACATACCAGGATCTTTGGGTGAGATTGTCCATTGTCGAAGTGAAGGATTTAAGCTTTCAAAGAGAGGAAAATCTGGAAACTGTAATGCAGTTGAAAAGTTCAGCTTAGAAAGGTTAGTTTTCGCCCAATAAGTATTAAGTTCAGTCCAGGTAAATTGTTTAATGAGTGTAAATGGTTGCAAATAATCAACACTAAGTACAACAGGTGAGTCTGGACGAAGACGAACATCAATTACACTGGACGGGCACCAATAATGTTCACCTTTTTTTGTAACCATAGTTTGATGCTTGAATCTTTCATGCAAATATTCGCTGAACATCTTTCGATAAGGAAAGAAAACTTCCAGTTGCAAGAAAAAGATGTAAAAAGCACATAAAAATGGCAATAAAAACAGACACTTAATCATAGATGAACTATTTCTTCTGCCTTTTTGCGTCAAAAAGAACATTGCTGAACGTTTGAATTAGCGTTTGAGTGGTTTTAGAGAAATAAAATATGGTTTTGTCAATAACAAACCAAGTGAACGTTTGCTTAAGTACAACAATGAATTAAAATGAATCGCTCATTCTTGATGTATGCTACTAACTGCTCCAAAGAACATATGACGCTATAATGAACGATACATTCAAGTGTAATAAGGCGAAGCTACTTTCAATATCAAACAAGTGCGCAATTGTACTCTAAAACAAATATGTAAATTATTGCAAATTGCAAATTTTATGTTTGGCAACGGAATTCTTGAGAATCCGAAAGCTAAAAATTTAGGAGTGGTGTTTTCTCTTAACCTATTTGGAATTTATGCTCTTTCGAATTTTAATTTAAAATAAATTTAAATTGTGACAGAGAGTGGGATAGGTAGGTTGATGGTGTGGAGGTGACCGGACTTGATTATTCTCGGTATTCATACCGTATCGATATCCATACACCATAACCATACACTATGAAGCTTTCGGGAGATATGCATCAAAAAAAGGGTCAAAGATAAGTTAGTTGGTCGCCCGAATTCTCTCTTGTCCATTATTCTATGTATTCAATCTTTTTTTGTTCGAAAGAGTATATTAGAATGCAATGTTTGCCAAAACCTTTTTTGAAATTCGTACTCTCCAGAAACAGTTAAAATATCCCAAGTTTGTGAGGAAATTTTTGGGATAACAGATGGTCATACTCTTTTTCTCCAAAAAAAATAGAACCTACAAAACGAACTTCGACAGGCGCTGTACTCTGACATGCTCCTTCAAACAAAACAATTGAATATATTAGATGAACGGCTAAAGCGAATTTTGCGGGACCAAATAAGCTATTTTTGACTCTTGATAGACGGATATCTCCCGAAGGGTGTGGGTGTGGGTGCGGGTGTAGATTAGGAAAAGCAAAACATCCACACGCCGCACCCACACCCTCATTTTTACTGCTGTTTTATTGTCAAAGTTTGATAGGAATTACAAACATGAAAAGAATGAATAGATCTATAATACAACAAAAAAAAGTGAAGGCATCAATAAAAAAGAAGCAGAAGTAACAGCCATTTCGATAAAATGTTCATTTAATAAATCGTAAAAGGCTTAAGAGAAAAACAACTTCGGCTGTTAAAAGTTAATTTATCTTGTTTTTATAGCATATTAACCCTTTGAGGACCGGTGGGTCATATTTGTCCCACCTATTTTTCAGTAGAGAAAAAAGTGTTTAGTTCACATTAAACTATTAAATATGTAAGGTCTTCAAGGTCATAAACAACTGCATTTGTCATCTCATACTTTTCTTTTCTTTCTTTCCTTCTCTCATATAAATTCTTTTCAAATATCCTTTGTTCTTGCTGCTAAGGTACAGTTACGTCGTAACTTCTCTCTTCTTCTCTGATCTTTTGTTTTTCGAGAATATTCTCATTCTCTATTGAGTATATATATACCCCCATTCTCATTGACGAATTTACGTTGTTTTTAAATTTGCAAAGCATATCATTTCTCTATCGAGCTTGTACTTTTTATTTCTTTATACCGCTTTTACAATTAAAATTAAACATATGAAATTCTATGGAAATAATGAAGTCGACGACGAGTCCTGTGATTCATATGCCAGTGATGACATCAGCGAGAGTGACTTCAATTTCGATTACGATGAATTGGTCGATAACGTAGATGAGCTTGAACTTTCTGATGAAGATTTGGATCTATGTGCAGAGGAGCTGAATTCAATGAATGAAAGTTATATCACGGATGGCGGCTTTACCTCAATCTTTCTCAAAGAGGAACTCCAGTGTCAGTCTTTAGAACATTTTTTTACTGAAGAAATTTTAAATCTGATTACTGATCAAACAAACATTTATGGAAAAGGAAGGAAACGAAGTAACAATCAGAAGAAAACCAGTAACTGAAAGGATGTGAGCAAAAAAGATATTCAATCGTTTCTCGGGTTGATCATTCTAATGGGTATCAATAACTTGCCAAATATGAAACTTTATTGGAGTAAAGATATGATATTCCATAATACATTTATTTCTTCGATCACGCCAAGAAATCGTTTTCTTCAAATTTTTTATAATTTACATTTGGCTGATAGCTCATTGAAACCAAAACGAGAATCTAAAGACTACAGTAAGATTTACAAAGTTAAGAATTTTACTGAAATTGTATGGAGAATTTCCAAAAACATTATAACTTTGGCCGCTATGGTACAATCGACGAAAGTATGATCAAATTCAAGGGAAGATCAAGCCTCAAGCAATATTTGCCTCTGAAACCAATAAAAAGAGGTTATAGAGTTTGGTGTTTATATGATCGAATCACTGATTATTTATTCAACTATCAAATCTATTTAGGAAAAGAAAAAACCAGTGGAAAAGAAACATCTTTGGGCGAACGTGTTTTTTTTTTGATCTTATATCTAGTCATAATTTCGAAGGGAAACATCTATATTTCGATAACTTTTTCACTTCTCTCAGATTATTAGAAAAGCTAAAGCTACAGAACATAAAAGCCTGTAGAACTATTAGACCAGATCGGGCAGGTATAGGTATTCAGTCGGATTTTGCCAAGAAAAATAAGATGGAACGAGAAGATTACAAGTCAGTGATTACATCAAACAGCATTGTCTTTCATACAGATGGACACCAAACACGTTTTTTTGGCTTCAAATTATCATAAAGACAACGAAGTTGTTCCGATTTCCCGTCGTTTGAAACATGGTCAACGTATTATAATTGCCTGTCCGAAAGCATTAAAAGATTACAATCAGTTTTCACATGGAGTTGATCGACTCAGTCAAAGAATATCCTGCTACAATCTCGATCGCAAGTCTAAAAGGAACTGGCTGCGAATATTTATTTATTTTCTAAATGCATCTATTTTCAACTCATTCATTTGTTATAATCAGTTAGCTCAAGATAAGTTAACATTCTTAAACTATATGGTTTCAGTGGCGAAGTCTCTCTTCTTCGGCAGTGAACGAATGAGTCGTGGAAGATCTCCTTCGTCTGAAAAGAAGTCTAAACAAGCATCACCAAAAACTGTCCTTAATTTTGACAATGAAATGCATTTGCTTGTGAAAGGAAAAAGAAGAACATGTGCTTATTGTAGTACCAAGCAAGCAAATTTTCGATTCAACATCGAGTGCTTTACTTGCAAATTGCCATTTTGTTTAAAAGATGAAAAAAAATGTTTTTTTGATTATCATAACATTTTTATGTAGCGATTTTGAGTTAAAATAAGATAAAAAGGTTGAAAAATGTTTTTCTCGATTAAAAAAAAATCCGGTCCTCAAAGGGTTAATCAGCTTTTTTATTTATACTTGCTGTTTGTTATTATGAACAATACGATAGATTGACATCCTCAATCCCAATACGCGATCTAATATAAAGTGTTCATTTATCAAATTAAATCGTTTTTTGTTACTTTAGATTTATTCCAAGAGCACATCTAATGGTGAAATCGTAAACCCGTAAAGTGTTAATGGAACTACATAGTTTAATGAACCTTTTCTTACTGTATGCAAAGTTTTCAGAAACCCTTCTGAATCGATTTATGAATTAATATCTGATTTCCATGAACCCTGCAAGAGTCTAGGATGCTACTCTTTTTTTTTGTACAGTGTAGTACGATCGGTAAATCCTCTTCCGATTCCTAGATACCGATCTACCGCCAAACTGGCTGACCTGACATCTGTACCGGTATCGGTTCCCTCTCTAACCTCAGGCACAACTCTTCCAAAACGAGTTTATTATGGCATGGAATGACGAAAGTAATTTTCGAATATGCTACATGTCTTCATCTGTTATGTTTTCGTGGCAGGAATAACGTATCATCAAACCATAGAATGCTCACTAAAAGGAGTTCTAAACTAGTGATGCCTAGTATTGACCCCAACAGCGATTTTGAGATCATAGCAGTTGTATGGGATCACCAATTTGATTCCTATCATATGAAAAATGGCAAATTAAAAACTCAACAATGCTGCACTACTCTCGGGCAGATACAGAAATATGTAGGAGCGACTTTTTTTCTTTTAAAGAGTCTTCTATAGAGGTTGCTGCAACACTATTAAGCATGAAGGAATATTCTATTTCTCTTTCTGATTTTCACCATCATATTCTGCTTCATACATACGTTCAAGGTTTTCTTCTACTATTGGTAGAAAGCTTTCGATTAACATAGAAACTAATTTAGTGAATATAGAAATGATTAGGAATCGCAGACAAACTTTGTGAGAAATACGAACTTAAGAAATATTGAAATAAGTGTTCCGCATGATGATCTGCCGGTCTGTGCTCTTTTCATCACGTTCTCATCTTGTTTTCTAGAGTGAGTAGATGGCTTTCGATTGACACAAAAATAAAATTACAGAGTGCTTCTAATTGCTTATTGTGACCGAAAAAGACGTGGAATAATCTTAGAAGTGAAGACACTTTCAGAATAATGCCTGCTCTGAAGATTTCCTCGCCTGTTTGTTTTTTCACACGTATTCTCAAATAAACAGGTGAGTCAGAATAAATGAACCATTGTTATTTCCTTCATATGGTTTGCGTCGACGATCATCGTACAGTTTGAATCTTAAGTAGGATCTTTTTTTCTTCATTCTGTCTATTTATACATTTCCTTACGCCGGAAACTGTTATGCCTCATATTTGCTCCTTAGACATATCTCTATAAGATTTTATTGCATCGGAAGAGCTTTTCCCCAAAAACATTCAGCATTGAGTTCTCTACGAAGCCCTACAGCAATAGTCAAAACAGATATAAAAGGAAACACTTATCATAATAATACTACGAGAATCTATCAAAATCA